CGAACCAGGTATCTCAATCCCAAAGCTACCATCGACGTTCAATGCGGCGGATTAATTGCATCACCCGCGGAGTCCCATGACAGTCTTTCCACGGACGAAACCTTGGCCGGAGAAGATAAAGATATGGTACAGAGGGTCGAACATTCCATGGAGGAAGCTGGGCTTGTGCTTCGGAGCAGAAGGACACATCATATACCCAGCGCATCAACAGTGGCGCGGACAATTCAGACGGGAGACCTATGGAGCTTGCCGAGAGTAACAGGCGGCGTGTATAGGTATCTTTCTACCTGGCGAAACCTTCACAAAGAAGTAGGCGTGGACACGTTACTGTAGGGTCAGTCGCATCAATTGACAGGCGGAAGCTGACGACGGCAGGTACATCATTCGAGCCAGCGCGCCGCGAATGAAGAGATCCAGAGAGGATTCCATTGATGAGGCTGGACCGAAACGACTTCGCTTGTCGGCTGGTGAGCAAGACGTAACTGAGAGTTGCGTCTCCGTGGGCCTCGATGCGTAAGAGACCACTCGGTAGAGAACTTAGGGACTATTAGGTTGCGTTAGCCGAAGTCAGGCGCAGTCAAGTCGTTATGCCGCAAAGTGTATCCTACGCCCGAAGCCGTATCTGTAATTCTATTTAAGCCCTCTCGGGTGCTGCTGAGCATTTCCTCTATGACTTGAGGTGGGGGAGGAGGACGGTATGCGTGACATGATCTTCGAGCGGAATTGACCTTATCACCGGCTTGCGAGGCTTCCTGTAGGGCATCCGTGGCAGGTCGGCCAGCTCATCGCATTCACGGAGGACGTTCTGCGGACGCAATGGCGGAAGGCCTGGCGCACTCGCAACAGCGCCGAAGCGTAGACTAGGGCATTTCGAGCCGAGGCCCAATCGGGGCAGCCCTGCAGGGTGGGTTGAGGGCAGGCGTGAGCAGCCGGAGCGAGTGACATTGACCGAGGGGCGCTCGAGCCTCTCTGCAGAGCGATGGACACAAGGTGTGTGGGGCTTCGATCCCAGCTAGGGGGGGTGTACGACTGGGAGTGCGCATGATGAGATGGTGGGGTGTGGGCGACGACAAGGGTGTAAGGGTGAATCGGTCAAAAAAAGTTGGAGGGGAGTGGGAACGCCAAATCTTGCATCGTCCTTGCAGCCTCCCCGGTGCCACGGCACAGACGACGTGGGGCACTCATCTCACGTTTTAGCGTCCCCAGGACGGCCCGCTTTTGGCATGCACATGGAGACGTCAGCCCAACCAATCAGGGCTGCATCTCCCGACTTCATGTCTTGCGCAGCGACGGCCAGCGCAGAACCCGACAACATTCGTGTTGGCTGACCGTCGAGAGACTCGCGGACCAGGGAAAGGGCCAATCGCGGACAAGCCGTGCAGTATCCGCTGGTTGCCGCCGGCATGGGAGGTCCGTTGGGCATCGGACCGTGGCTCCTTGCGAATGGAGGCATTGGCCCTGCAGTCGTGTCCATTTGAGGCAGCTGCGGCATGGTCTGGAATTCTGGGAGGAAGAGATATAAAGGACTGGCGCTGATGGCGAGATTCCCGGATCCGAAGACCATCAAAACCTCACTTTTACCACAAACCGCATACCTTACACTCTACCCGCGAGCCAGCACAAGATCGAAGGCGAACGAAGCCGAAAGGATGGACCGCTACCCCTGCGTCAACAGATACAAGCACGGCGTCGACTGCCCCGGCTGGGTGAACGTCCACGGTGCGCGGTGCGAAGACTGTGTTGTCGTAAGTCACACGCCCGATCATACCCAAGGCTTACTGACCCTGGACAGTACAACCGGTAGACGTGAGGGGTCTTAGCTGGTGGTGTAACGCGATCGACGGAGCATAGGGATGGGCGGAAAGCACCTGCAGCAACATGCTTAGACAGACCGGAGATGATTCTCCCTTGAATTAACTCTGTGTACCCCTATGTTGTATTCGATGTTCCCTTTGCCAGGTCCATGCCCCTGGGGTGCTACGTGCAAGTGACTGTTCTCAGGTCTCCCAATGCCGCCTGACTGTAAGCCGCCTCACAGCCTGCCTCGTAGTCTGCCTTGTGGCCTGCTCGTTGCCTGCGCGTTGCCTGCTCGTTGCCTGCGCGTTGCCTGCTCGCAGCGATGTCGGACGTGCGAACCATCGCGGACGCCTCTCATGCGAAGCATAAAATCGTGCCATGCCCAGACGATGTCCAAAGAGTCGTTGTCCTTCTATTTCACACAACAAGCACAAAACCGACCACCGCGGAACGTTGCGAAAGTACGACTGCCAATTTCTCACGATGCTCACGGGAGCCCGTAGAAGCGCTGGAGTCGAGCACCATGATAGGAGTCCTGAGGTGGCAAAGCTGAGTTGGCGGAGCTGAGATGGCGGACCAACCTCAACGCCCGACGTAGCAGAACGTCCGTGACGAGGGCCTACCCATGGAACCAGATGCTGGTCGGATCAACGTAACTTTCCACGGTCTCGACCCCCACGACACCACCGCACTTGCCCATCGGCTAAGGAACCTACCCGTTAATAGTGCCATGCCCCTCCGATACTGGCTCTGTGGGTTGTACCTGAACAATCAGGAAATAGGGATGGGCCTGCACATGGTGAGTCCCCAGTCTTATCCACCCTCTACACCCTTCTACGCAAGACCATCTATCCATGACAGGAAGCGTGCCACTCTCTGTTGTAAACAGCCTCCCCGCGCATGTGTGAGACTCAGATTCTGACAAGCATCGGCATGCGGCACCTTTCTTCCCGAACAGGGGTGTCTGAAATGCCACGACCAGAAGGAGCGCTGCCCGTCGATCAGCATACTTCAAGGCGACTGACCGATGGCCTTCGGATACGGAGTATCGCAGTCAATTCGACGTATGTGACAGGTGACCTCGAGCTCTCGCAAGCCATGGCTAGTTCTTCTTTCTAAGTCTCTAGTTCCGTACGTCCTCCTCGCGATTCTTCACGACAGCCAAACCGACGACTCCCTCACTTCGACGATTCCCTCACTTCGGGGCACAATGTTGTTTCCAGATGCCTTCGACACAGTCTTGACGGAGTTGTTCGGATTTCATCACAACGACATCAGATTGTCTTCCAGTGCTAAGCATCAAGTTTCCATCGCCACCCACAGTCTACCAATACACTCACAAGCTGTCCCCGAACTCTGTCACAGCGTCCACTCTCCCTCCTCGCCGTCTTATGATGAGAAATACGCGATTGGCGTCACCAAGGGATTTGACAAAGCCTTAGACGAGGAGCATCTCCAAGAGACTCCTTCGTCTGATATTGGGCCCCTCACCATCGTTGTCCGCGATTTGACACTCTCACAAGAATGTCAAACCCGCCCTCTGCTATCACCTCGCAGATCCCTGGCTGCTCTCTCTGGGTCCAGCCATTCCTCGGCTACCAAAAGTATTCAGGCAAGCGAGAAGACCTTGGGCGGCCTCGAATCCGACAAGGAGTCTCAGGGCAACGTGCGGACAACTTCTCAGCCTCCCGTACAAAGGCACAACGAACCCCCCGTCGGCGACTGCGAGACCAAAGGCTCCCCCAAAAGCGACGTTACCTCGAATCGTCGCCAGAATTCTATAAGCCAGTCGGAAGCCTTTCTCCACCAAAACTCAAACACCGACTGCGTTGACGAAAGCGCAATTGATGATGATTCCGAGTCGGAAGCCTTTCTCCACCAAAACTCAAACACCGACTGCGTTGACGAGACTGGCAAAAGGTCTAGCATTGACGAGGAGACCTTCTTTCAGCGTACCGACAACAACAGCAAGCTGACCTCGCGTCGCTCTCTTATTACCATGATGGTGGTTGAGATGGACAACCGCGGAGGGGTAGGGAATGTAGCCTCTCGGTCTATCTCAACACTTCCGTTTCGTACCAGCCACCCGGCCCCGCCTACCTTAGCCGTCTCTCCCAATGATTCCGACGACGCCCCATTGATAATGAAGCGCGATAACGGCTGGTCGCCTCTGAAGCCCATCATCGAGGTGCCACGGTCCGCTCCTTGGCCTATCTCCAAGAATGCCAGCCGTTGGTGCGAAGCCGTCCTCTCCCCCCGAACCACACGACGGTACATGCTGGCGACAGAAATGACCAACTCTGTCCGATGGAACATGCTTTGGGAGCGCGGGCAGAAGTCAGCTACTGCTAACGCAGTGCTCAAGCGCCGCCATACCTCCCACGACGTCGCGAACCTGAAGCAGTATCCCGAGATCGCCCGGACAACCACGAGGAAGGATGGTTTCATCGATGCCCTATACCTCGCTTATCACACAGGCGATGATTACAACACAAGGGGATGGTGACGGGCATGGTCGCGAGATGGGAACTCTGGAGTCACTACGGCGACAAAATCCGAATAATTATTCGATTCGCGCGACTTCGAATGGGGCCGCGGAGGCCTTACCGTACAGAGACGCGCATTGATCTGCGGAACAAGATGAAGGAGAGATGGATTCATGATAATGCGGCAGGAAGCGATGGTAGTATTTGTATATACAAGAGTGACAATCTTCCGATACATTCGCGACGAGCGCACTCAGCATGTCTTCGTTGAATTAAAAACACGAAGAGAAGCCCGATTTCGAAGATATGGGTCGTTGCAACTAAATATCACACAAGACAGTGCGCACTGGGAGGGTCCAAGGCATGTGACCGATGCTGGTTTCAAAGGTGCCGCGACTAAGTTCAAGTACATGATGATCTGGGTATCTATGGAATTGTTGCTGCTCAAGAGACAAGTTGACAAGTTGGAGAGCTTCGAGGTCCTGACCAGTGCGCGCTCTCTCGATGCTGTCATGAATGCCAGGCACATCTCTTGAGACAGTCTCTCACTTCCTCGAGGATTAAAATTCCCGGCTCTCGCCATGTCTGGTTTCGTTGCCAGACTTGGCCTCCTTGTGGACTACCATATGCGATGTCTTCTACGTCGTTAACACAACACAATGCCAAAAGCCAGGACGCGCGCGATCTACAGTGCTCAGTAGTCCCAGTACAACGCCTTCAAATGAAAGGATTGGGAGGGCGAAAATCCAAGTAAGCCACGTAGAAAATCAGACTAAGGTCTCATAGTTAGAGCAAATCAATGGAGTGAGGCAATTTGCTCACATCTTCTTCTTTTCAAGCTCCATCGTCAGAGCGTTGGGATACTTTTCGTGACAACCCCACTCTGAACGCAGGCATTGATTTTCCTTCATAGATTGAAGCATCGGGGCACCAAAACCATGCACCCGATCAAGGGGCACACAGTAGGGTGCAGACAGACCGTTGTAGATCAACTTGCCCGAGTCGAGTAGTAGGTAGACCACCCAATGGGTCATTGGAAATTCGAACTTGAATTCGGGATCTAGCGCAGCATCTCTCTCCGAAGCTGCAGCAAGAGTAGTACTATCGTGCTCGAAAGAATCGTATGGCAGAACACAAAGGGCTGGAGCTAGATTAGCAACTGAAGTCTGTAATTTCAAGATGTATCGAGTCTTCTGAGCCAGCAAGCTCGGGTTGACTGCGCTCTCGAAATGATTGGCTTCCGTACCAGAAGTTGAGTTCTGCCCGGCACTCAGAGATCTTCCCGCACATGGACCGGCGATAGTGCTTCTTTTCTTGGATTTAGAACGTTGATCGTATGCCTGAGAGGAGTCTATTAGCTTCGTTGTAGATGTTCATCAACTCACTCAACCGTCACAACGCGGAAGAAACCTGGCCTCATGCAGTAACGGGGGCGCTTTCAAAGCTTTGGCTTACTCTTGAGATGAAAAATTCTTCCGCAATTGAAAACTCATTACATGGTGAATTTCGCATGAGGAAAGTTGTGGTGTTGGCTGACATTGTATACCTCAACTGTGTTTAGAGAACTTGATGGCGAGAATGACGACCGGGAAAATGCCCCCGGGCAGGAAGATAGACGCATACTTATATCAGGGGGGTCAAAGTTGCGAACGTTGAGGTGCTTCCCCCAGAAACGAGGAAAGAGACCCAGGGTCCCCGTACAAGACCCTGTCATCGCTGAAGCCACTCAAATTCAGTGGGGAGCGCATAATTACTTCGAGATGCCACTCAAACGGCGAAGTCAGGCCCGCGAATTCGCTAGTCACCGGTTCGTTCTCAAGTTGACCAGCGCAGGCCGCGTGCAATTTTTGTTACGGGCCATAGATATGTAGAGCTAATCAACCAAAAGGTGATGCGGTGCCCTCAGCTATGTTAATCACCATGAGGCGCGAAACGGATACTCAGCGCCAAGAAGCAACCGGTGTCTTAGC